ACCTGCATCCACTATATTTGGTCTCCCGGACCCTGCATTCACTATATCTGGTTCTCCCAGGACCCCTTGCATCCACTATATCTGAGTCTCCCCGGACCCTGCATCACTATAATCTGGTCTCCCCGACCCTGCATCCACTATATCTGGTCTCCCCGGACCCTGCATCCACTATATCTGGTCTCCCCGGACCCCTGCATCCTCTATATCTGGTCTCTCCAGGACCCGCTCATTCACTATATCATGTGGATGGTCTCCAGGACCCTGCATCCACTATATCTGGTTACCAGGACCCCGCATCCACTATATCTGGTCTCCCCGGACCCTGCATTCACTATATCTGGTCTCCCAGGACCCCGGCATTCACTATATCTGGTCTCCCGGGACCCTGCATCCACTATATCTGGTCTCCCAGGACCCTGCATTCCTATATTTCCGGTCTCCCAGGACCCTGCATTCACTATATCTGGTCTCCCAGGACCCTGCATCCACTATATCCGGTCTCCCCAGGACCCTGCACCATCCACTATACCTGCATTCTGGTCTCCCAGGACCCTGCATTCACTATATCTGGTCTCCCCCGGACCCTGCATCCACTATATCTGGTCTCCCAGGACCCTGCATTCACTATATCCGGTCTCCCAGGACCCTGCATCCACTATATCGCAACCTGATCCTACCCTAGCCATTCACAATATCATTATCAGTTAAAACAACCTGCTCGTCAGTGAAGAGAAAATCATTCGATCAGTGGTTCTGCAAAATTTTTGGTACGATTTTCTTATCATGTGTACAGGGCATTAGGGTAACCATACATTGTACAATTTTCTTGAGATTTTTGCTTTAGATTACCAAAAACCATATTAATATGAGGTCAAACCTAGACAACACTTTAATTCTATCCAATTAGGCAGACCCTTACACTACATAGCTGAAGGTAAATCTAAAAGGGTACTGGGGCAGAAATTGGAAAATTGTATAGTGTATAGCCAGCTTTAGCCCCTTCTCTAAAATAAGTCATTGAGCTAGTCCAGACCCACTTCGTCTATGAGAAATCTTTAGCTCACCTAAATGATAGAATTACCAAATCTGACAAAGCTTGGAAACCCCGGTCCGACTGGTTCAGAACAGTAACCTAAGATATTATTATGTTTAACCCAGGGGTGGACTGACAACTCATGGGGCCCCCCAGGCAGTAGGGGATCATGGGGCCCCTGTGTCCTTGCCCAAACTCAAAAAAGCCTATGAAAAAGGTAAACAGGGGCATCTCATGGGGCCCCCTACTGACCCCAGGCCCTCGGGCAGTTTCCAAATGGTCAGTCCGCCCCTGGTTTAAACTTTTCTTGGATACTCTAAAAATGATTATTTCATGGGAACTAGTAGGATTGTTAGGAATTATTCAATATTTCCTTTTTCCTCTTTGTTAAACTTTACAGCAGCACCTATACTGTGATATTGTGTAGCTTTTCACTGTCCTATTTTTGTTTTTGTTTTTTTTTGTTGTAACTATATTTGTAAAAAACAATTAAAAATGTATTATGGAAAAAAAAACAAAGGCTAGTGTGCATGAAGCTGAACAGATGTGTGCACGGTGATACCTCAGAAGGTGACAAGTAAATATTTGTTGGCAATATTTTGCTGGTTCAGAAACAAAAATGAGTATGAGGGCTCATGTACATGGGACGTTTGGAAAACTCTTCTGAGCGAAGGAAACTGCTGGAAAACATAGGTTAAAAATCGGGGGGGAATGGGGAATGCATTGTTGTCAATGAGTTGGCCTGCAAAGGCTTGTATTGTGATTTACCCCCCCCCCGGTCACATCAAAGCCGATTTTGAACTAGTGCGACTTACAGTGAAGTCGCACAATTTCAAAATTGGGTGACCTACCGATTTCATTGCAATTTGCAAGACATCTGACACAAATTGAAACAAAAGTAGTGCATGTTCTGCTTTAGAAATCAGTGCAGCTACCGACCAAGTCCAACCAACCAAGTCAGAACCACACCGATATGACCACTCTAATGGCAGAAATAGGGTGTAACTTGGCATACGATTTGCAAGTCGCCCTGGCATGCAAATCGCATGCCAAGTTGCACCCGATGTGACCGGGGGCTTAGGGTCCTTTCACATGGGCGTTCCGTTTTTTTTCATCAGTTCAGTCACGTTTTTTTCAAAGAAAAAATGGATCCATTTACATCCATTTTTCATTAGTTTACATCAGTTTTTTCATCCAATTACATCCGTTTACATCCATTTTCATCCGTTTACATCTGTTTTTCATCCATTTTTCATCCAATTACTTCCATTTTCATCAGTTTTCATCCATTTACATCTGTTTTTTCATCCGTTTGCATCAATTTTCATCCATTTTCATCCATGTACATCAGTTTTTTCGTTCGTTTTTCATCTGTTTTACATCTGTTTTTCGATAGTTTACATCAGTTTTTTCATCCATTTACATCCATTTTCATCCATTTACATCCGTTTACATCTGTTTTTCATCCATTTTTCATCCGTTTGCATCCACTTTTCATCCGTTCCGGGTTTTTTATACAAAAGGAAAATAGGGTTTTCTTCCATTCAAAAAAAAAAAAACGGATCCATTTACATCCATTTTTCATTAGTTTAAATCAATTTTTTCATCCAATTACATCCATTTTCAACCATTTACATCTGTTTTTTCATCCATTTTAATCTGTTTTACATCTGTTTTTCATTAGTTTACATCAGTTTTTTCATCCGTTTACATCCGTTTTCATCCATTTACATCCGTTTACATCTGTTTTTCATCCATTTTTCATCCAATTACATCCATTTTCATCCGTTTTCATCCATTTACATCTGTTTTTTTTCATCCGTTTGCATCAATTTTCATCCATTTTCATCCATCTACATCTGTTTTTTCATCCGTTTGCATCTATTTTCATCCATCTACATCTGTTTTTTCATCCATTTTCATCTGTTTTACATCTGTTTTTCATTAGTTTACATCAGTTTTTTTCATCCATTTACATACGTTTTCATCCATCTACATCCGTTTACATCTGTTTTTCATCTGTTTGCATCCGTTTTTCATCCGTTCCGGGTTTTTATACGAAAGGAAAATAGGGTTTTCTTCCATTCAAAAAAATGGATGTTAACAGATATGAACATTAACAGATGTAAATGGATGATCATCTGTTTACATCGGCTAGTCCATAGAAATACATGGGTGTCCGTTTTTTGTCTGTAAACAGATAGATGGAAAACAGACATACGGAACGCCCGTGTGAAAGAGGCCAAAGAATAAAGCACAATTGTGTAGTGATGCAAAGTAAGAACAAGAGCCTGTAAAATCTGGCTGCCACTATGCTTACATTTAGTCCTCATGCACATGGGATGTTTTGATAACACTGGTAACATTAGCTGTGTAAATTCACGTTAAAAACGTGAGTTTCTCAGCTTTTTTTTAGCAATTTTGCATTAGCGGTTAGTGACGTTTTTTTCCGCGTTTAGTAGCGTTTGCATTTTTTTTGTATTTTTAGCTTTTTAAAAAAAAATGTCGGTTTGCGTTGGTTTACCACCTTTTTACAGTGTTTTGCCACGTTTTTCAGCTTTAGAGCGTTTATACAGCTAAAAAACTCCTCTAGACACCCACTAGTTCTGGGGGTTTTTTTTCAGCCAAAAAACGTCCCAGCCAAAAAACGTTGATTACAGTCTATGTGTGCATGGACACATAGGATAACATGCTGGGGAGTTTACTGGCTGTAGAAAAAAAACATTAAAAGCCAAAAACAGCCGCTGTAAAAACGTCCCGTGTGCATGAGGACTTAAACTCATCACAGAAATAAAGATTTGTGAACAATGATTTGTGAAACCTGCTGACAAGATGTTCACAGCAAGGTGACTTCATTTACATCTAAATTATAACAGAAAATAACTATGGGGGTTGATTTACGTAAACTGGAGAGTGCAAAATCTGGTGGAGCTCTGCATAGAAACCAATTGGCTTCCAGGTTTTATTGCCAAAGCTTACTTGAAGAAGCTAAGCTAGAAGCTGATTGGCTACCATGCACAGCTGCACCAGATTGTAAGTGCTCCAGTTTTAGTAAATTCCCCCCTTTGTGTTTTCTTTAATTCAGAAAACCTTCAGACCATGAAAAGGCTGCTATGGCATTTTCACCGGGCTGTGCAAAATTGGCTGCAGCAGAATCAAGGCCAGGCAAGGATACTTTCATATTGACATTTAAATTCCTTAACATGGGAAGTAAGAGCTTGCTGGGTCAGGAGAGGACAAAGTCAAGCCACCTTGTGACATGTAGTAGTACTGGGACTCTAGTGGCGAACTACAGAAATGATGGCCATTTCAGTCTGACATGAAAATAGAAAATTTATCAATGCTTTAACCACTTGCCTTCCAGAGGATTTACCCCCCCTTCCCGACCAGGCCATTTTTTGCTATATGTCGCGGTCATGCAACACGGTACCTAAATGAAATTTATGTCCTTTTTTCCCCGCAAATAGAGCTTTCTTTCGGTGGTATTTGATCGCGCCTCTGCGTTTTTAATATTTTTGCACTAGAGAAAAAGACCACCAATTTTGCGAAAAAAAAAAACAATTTTTTTGACTTTTTGCTATTAAACATGTCCAGTAAAAAAATTTTAAAAATCTAATTTTGTCATAAATTCAGGCCAAAATGTATCCTGCTACAGGTCTTTGCTGTAAATTAATTGGTTTATGTCAAAGTTATAGCGTCTACAAATGGCAAGATAGATACTGGAATTTTTATTCATTTTTTTATTATTATTATTATACAGGATTTATATAGCGCCAACAGTTTGCTCAGTGCTTTACAATATAACGGGAGACAATACAGCAACAATACAGTTCAATACAAGAGGGAAAGGAAGGCCCTGCTCTTTGGAGCTTACAATCTAGGAGAGAGGAATTTTATTATTTATTTATTTATTTTTATACTAGTAATGGCGGCGATCAGCGAATTATAGCAGGACTGCGGGACTGACACTGGGGGGGAACTGACTTGGTGTCACTGACATCCCCAGTGACACCAATACAGTGATCAGTGCTAATAAAAAGCACTGACACTGTACTAATGGCACTGGGTAGGAAGGGGTTAACATCTGGGGCGATCAAAGGGTTAACTGTGTGCTGTTTTACTGTGTGCCGTGTGTGTGCTTTACACTGTAAGCACATTGCTTTGTATGGCTCTGCTATGCAGAACCATACAAAGAAGTGTGCAGGAGCTGGTGGGAGAGATCTGTTTTGTTTACATACAGGTCTCTTCCCATCCATGATACACGGCGATCGCTAAGTGCCGATGGGGAATCACCGGCCTGGACCTGGTGATCGACAGGTGAGGCTGCCAATGGCCAAACACCAAAGCATTGGATTTAAAAACACTCCTACCCGGAAATGCAAAATCACTTATATATACATGATTTTGCACACCCCTGCTGCCCTGTAGCAGCATTTCTGCTATAGGGTGGCAGGAAATCAGTTAAAGCGGTAGTAAACACTCATTTAATATTTTTCCCCATGGAAAGTAGTCTGGATTAATTTGCATATCAGTGTCTTTCATATTGTCCCAACTTGTGCTCTTTAGGAGAATTCGCCCAATGTTTACTTCAATGATGTTACCAGCACAGGCACGTTTTGGCCCCCATTGAGGGCACGCTTCGTGTGCTGCCAGTCCATTCATCCTGTTGCTGCTTCTTCATCATCAGCACTTGTGCCATTGAATCGCAATCTCGTCAGATTGAAGACCCATTGAGATTTTCTGTAAACATTCCGTGTGACTTTAACCTCATAATACTTAAGGTCTCTGCTCAATCTCCTAGAAGTCCATCTGGTGTTTTCTGCAATGGGTGCTGGCTGGGCAGGAGTCCGTCTAACGCCTCACATACTGTGGACATGCATAGAGAAAGGTCCCATGCACCGCACACCTAGTAAAGCCATTAGTAAACAGGTGAAAGCAGCTTCAGCCAGCTTCATCCAAAGCCACACTTCCAACGCGTTTCACCCCGCTCATAGGGCTTAATCAAGGAGCCATAATGCATAATAGCATAAATACTATATATGTATTTTATATACAGTGCATAATAATATACATACATGCATTTATTATTTATACTAACATTGACGTACAAAGCCATTCATAACTCTGCCCCAAACTATCTCACCGACCTGATACCCAAATACCACCCAACCCGTACTCTTCGCTCCTTGCAAGACCTCTTACTTTCTAGCTCCTGGTCTCCTCCTCCCATGCCCGACTGCATGACTTCTCCTGGACTTCCCCCATCCTCTGGAACTCACTACCCCAATCCATCAGACTGTCACCTACCCTCCTCACCTTTAGGCGCACCCTGAAAACCCATCTCTTCAGGGAAGCCTACCCCGCCCTCACCTAACAGCCGATCTCCTCCACTCCCCCTACCACTCCATCCCCCACAGCCACTTCCTCCTGTACCACTATCCCCTCCCTTCTAGATTGTAAGCTCGAAAGAGCAGGGCCCTCGAACCTCTCATATATTGTTTTATTACTGTATTGTCTCATGTACTGACCCCACTATAATGTACAGCGCTGAGCAAACTTTTTGGTGCTATATAAACACTGTATAATAATAATAATTATGTATATAAAATCCAAAACAACTACAGTGGGGGAACTACCAGGGACCACTGTGGGGGAGAGGGGCCCCGAGACTCAATGTTGCCAAAGCAGGCACTTTTCTCCTGTCAGGAGACAGGAGAAAAGAGCCTGTAGAGAAAAATCTTCTTGTCCCTGGCCTGGCTGCCCGTGACTCGTAACTCACAAGCAACTTGCGATGAAACACTTTAGAAAGAAAAAAAATCCTTCTCTGCGATTCCAACTCTGAACTGCGCATGCGTAGTTCCAGATCCAGTCAGCTAGAGAGCTGCAGGGCTCGGCCTTGGATCTGGCAGCAATGTGTGGCTTATATTCACATGCCCCGCTGCACAAGTAGAGGCCAAGCTCAGCAGTTCTCTAATCGGCTGGCTCCAGAACTGCGCATGCGCATTTCAGTAAACCGAGAAGGACTTTTTTTCTTCTAAAGTATTTTTTTCAGCCAGCTGCAGTACTATAGTTTGAACCTATATGGGGTTAACTGATCTTGCAACCCATAGTGATCCGCAGGTTCAGCTTCAGCGGTTTACAGCCTGTAAGGGGTTAACTATGGCAGCTCTGTGCTAAAGTCGGAGATCGGCTTCTTCGTCCTGAAACCGGCACATGCACAGTTGCTTCAGGGGATACATATCTTCACAGGTCCGGAATTCTCATTTTACCACTACACCGGGGCAGCTGTCACTGTGTCGGGAATCTGGGATCACCCCAATAACTGGCCAAGACCTTCACAGAGCCCAGAAGCTCTGCTGGCATCCTGCTCCTGCACCCCCTGTGATGGTGTCACACCCCCCTAGGGACACCACTGGTTTGAACCCTCTTAAATTTTAACTTCAACTCAAGCGAATATTTCTGAGTAGGATTAGTGTCTAACCACTCATTAAAGCAATTCTATCGGCTGAAGACTTTTCTAAAAAAAAATGCCACTGCAAAAGAAGTCTATGCTTACCTCTCAAGCAGGCAACAAGCCCAATCTATGCTCTCCTCAAGATCTATAGCAGCTAAAGGATTTTCAGTATTTTACACATTTTCCTAGTCCCCCACTGCACACTGTGGTTTCACATGTTGGCTGCTATGTCACTACTGCTACTACTTGCTGACATGCACATTTACTTCAGACTAGCCCCACTGTTGAAGGTCAAAGTCTGATGCTTACAACTCTCCCTGCTCCACCTATGAGAGGTCTAACAAACTGGTGGATTTCAAGCCTTATTTCCACTCCTGAATCCGAAAAATTAAAATTCAAGTTCTTCTTTAGGCACTATAGCCCACAGTGTCTGAGGGTCTGTGGCCCCCCTAAGAGTTTGGGCAAACATAACATGGTAAGGTGAGCCACCTGTTCAGGAATGTACTATACAGTTGTTTTTCCAGACCACTTTGGCTAAGTAATGGGTTAATTTCTGTAATTTCCCACAAGCTAAACCTCTCAGCAGTTGTATCAGGGTGCAAATGAACTTCTGAAATGCCCAATTGCCTACTGTGTGACTAGTGTCTAGTGAGTGGCACCAACCTTGAAAAATCTCACTTTCAAAATAGGGTCCCTAGTCTGAATGCATCTTCTACAGACAGCCATAAGGAAAGAAGGAAGGTAAAAGTATTTTCACACATCTCGGTGGTGGTGTGGTCTGGTCATGAGTTGGTACTAACACTGCATACCCGGTGAAGTGCTCCGCCGTGACTAGAGCATGATGGTACCCATCTTCTGACATGTTAAATGTAAGAAAGTCAATAAGCAGTACTCCCATAGGGGTAGATGTGTGCCAAGTCAGAGGTGGAATCCAAGCCTCACACTGATTTGACATTGAACAGACCATACACAGTCTTGCAGACTTATTCAACAAACTGGAACAGAGCCACGTACATGGCTTGTCTCTTGAACCAACATTTTGTGGACCACCCAGTTACCAGCTTCCACACGGATTTTCTCTGCCATAGAGAGGGTCCTGTACAGTACAACCTTCCAGATTACTGACAGGTCATGGGGGAGCATGATTCTTTGGTATGGTGTACTTGCATGATTCTTTGGTATGGTGTACTTGCATGATTCTTTGGTATGGTGTGCTTGCATGATTCTTTGGTATGGTGTGCTTGCATGATTCTTTGGTATGGTGTACTTGCATGAGTCTTTGGTATGGTGTACTTGCATGATTCTTTGGTATGGTGTACTTGCATGATTCTTTGGTATGGTGTACTTGCATGAGTCTTTGGTTTTTTTTTTCAAAATTGGCAGTCTTTTTTGTTTATAGCGCAAAAAATAAAAACCACAATGGTGATCAATTACCACCAAAAGAAAGCATTATTTGTGGGTAAGAAAATTACTTAAATTTTATTTATGTACAGCATTGCCTGACCACGGAATTGTCAGTTAAAATAGTACAGTGCTGTATCGCAAAAAAATGGCCTGGTCAGGAAAAGGGGTAAATCTTGCAGAGGGCAAGTGGCTAGAGTGCCAATTAAGCTGTTTGGCCATTGTGTTGGTATCCATCCAGACCTCGAACTTGCCTCCTGTCAAACAACCAGCAAAACGTTCAGTGACTGCCCACACCAAAGCCAACAGATCCAGCTTGAAGGAGCTATATCTTGAAAGGTCACATATAGCGAACATTTATCGGGAGCATGAGCTGATGATTAGGTGGTACCACAACATCCGCTCAAAGGGAATGATGAAATTGTCAGCTTTTTTGCAAAATTCTTACAGAGCATGCATTAGGCTCTGTAGTGCTTCTGGAGCATGAAGCAATTGCATGATTTCTTGTTGAGGAGAGGGCTCATGTGTGCAGGGCAAGGGTGTATTTACCACAAGGCAAACAAGGCACTTGCCTAGGGCGGACATTTTTCAGGGGGGCAGCACCTCCCCTCAGAAGAAGAGATGGAAAAAGGGCCCACCTTGGCAGTGTTTTCTATCCCCTCCTTGCCCCTTGAAAGCGTATTCCTCTTTGCACTTCACAGCAAATAACTCTATCTGTATTTCTGGAGAGTCATCTCCCATAGGTTTCTGACTTTTTATCCAAAGAGTCAGTTCAGTTCAGTATCAGTTTCATGCCAATGGTGGCTATTGGTGTATCTAAACCTGTTTATTTCTTCTTTTCACATGCTATGGCTGCTTCTTATAGTTTGTGAAACTTCACTTCCTCCCCCATTTGTTTTTCTTATTACCTACTTACCTGGTTGTAGGTCCTGCACAGATAACATACTCACCTGCCCACTAGATCCAGTGGTGTCTTGCTGAGATCCTCCTTCCTTCTGCCTTAAGCTCGGTCCCACGCCACTATCTTCACGCTTGACGTCTTTGGAAAGCCATCAGCTATTTCGGGTTCAGCAGGAGGCTCTCCCAATGACTCACTGATAGGCCTACCCCTTTCCTCCTTTCTAAGTGAAAGCTAGTGCCTCCTATGTGAAATGCATATCCTCAGAGGCACAGTGGGCAAAGTGCACTTAATTCTCCAACGATGTGCAAAATGACGTGCACTGAAGGTGGGGTGGTCCATCTACAAATTGTTTCTTCAGCAATGCATCGGCATCTTCCCAGCCAGGGAGCTCTCAGCCCCTTTTCCTACAGCATATTTAGAGCAAATTGTTGCTCTAAACACACAAAATGAATTCTGTGCAAGTGTAACACAAATCATTCAAAATAAAGTGTCTAAAACAAACAGTAAAAGTCTGTGATGTGTAAGAAATCAGTAAA